ATTGAACAAAGTTTTGTATGTTTTAATGTCTTAAACAGCTCTGTTGCAGAACCCAATCTGCAACAAAATTTTTAGGCATTTTTCAAATAACACACAGGCGAAACTGAAAGAAATCCCCCTGTTTTAATTGGGAACCCTGAGATATGACAAATTGAAGGTCCTTTTTGATTAATCACTTGGGGCAAAGGGTATGCTTCTGTCTCTCCAGGTGCAGAAATTAAGTGGGTCCCAACCAAAACCATCAAACCATATCGCACCCCAGAATGTGTTGACGAGTTCAAGACTGTAGAAGTACGCAGACGTGAGCCGAAGAGAGGGATCATGGGTCATGCCTGACATTCCTTGTTCATCGGTGGAATTTTCAAATTGATATATATGAGAGGATCTTTTGCCAAAATTATCTCACAAAAAGGATGGAGTGAAATTGAATGATACGCTAGTGTTTGTTGATTTTAATTGCTTCTTGTAGTGCAGATTTGTCTGTGGAACAACCAAAACCAAATGTTTGGGTGACCTTAGCCAAGGCAGCAGGCCCAGATACCATATGTTTGTCTAATTCAGAACCAGAAAAGCCTTTCTTAACCTGTCTAGTTGATGTGCCAGTAAAGGATTTGCCTTTGATCAAAAAGCAATTTAATAGTAAGCCTGGTGAAATTGACAATGGGAGCAATCCTGTATCGAATTGGGACATTTGGGCCAAAGAACTTCCCAAAGCATTATCTGAACCCCAAGAATTAGAAATCCTTGGTTCTTTAACAATGGATTTTTGCCTTATGTTTACAGCTAATGATTGGTGAGAAGGTAATGCTCTAAAGCACAATGTTACTCCCCATTATTTTGCATATAGAAATTTAATTTTTTGGTGTAATTATTCAAACAGTTGGGGTGTGCTTTCTGAGGCTGACCAATATCCACAACAATTACCAAAAGAATATTGGTTCATTTGTGGAGATAAGGCTTGGCAGGGCATTCCACCCTGCCTTGAAGGCGGCCCATGTAGCATTGGAATGCTCACTGTGATAGCACCTACTGCTAAAGCAGTCATTAAGAAGAAACATAGGGGAATGAGATCTGCTCATCATTATGATGAGAATTGTAAGTGATTTCATACCTTGGAATGCTGCGAAAAAGGTTTCAGCAGGTTTGTTTTTACCCCAGCTGGCTTCAACAATGGCATTGAAGCAATTAGATCAGGTTAGATGTTGGCTGAGTAAACAAACTAATGCTACATCCACTGCAATCAGTGATATGCTGACTGATGTTAACAGTGTTAGACCTGCTACCCTTCAAAATAGAGCAGCAATTGATTCTCTTTTACTGGCACATGGACATGGTTGTGAGGAATTTGAAGGATTGTGTTATATGAACCTGTCTGATCATTCTGAATCCATCCACAAAAGCATACAAAAGCTGAAAGATTTGACAGCTCAAATTAAAGAAGATGGTGGGTCCTGGTTATTTGTTCCAAGAATGGAGCTTTGCACCTTGGCTAAGGGAACTTTATAAAATAGGTCTATAGGTGTTGGGTGTTTTAGTGGTGATACTAGTAGTGATACCGTGCTTACTTCGGTATGTGCGACAAATGACGGACAAAACTATCAAAGAAGTTTTTATCATACGAGAGAGAGAAGTAGGAAATGGATTCACAGAGAGTTCTTGAAATCTTACAGAGATGATGGATGAAAGTATAGAACATGGAGGAAGGTTTTGAATTAAGACATTGGAACAGGCAAGACTCTTTTGAACAATGAATCGTAATTGTTATCAGACATGACTTTTGCCCTTTGAACTGACTGGACTTTCACAGCATTAAAATTGCTGTGTTGTAATATAGCAATGCTTAATGTGATCAAAAAAGATGCTTTAAGAAAATAATTATAGTAAAGCTACGAAACACAAGGTAGTTAATAAATGACATGGTTATGAAGGTTTCTTTTTAGTTGAACCAAGAGGGGAAATGGTGGGAATCCTTAAAATCAGAGGGTTTGGGGAAAGCTGCAAAAGGCAGGCTTCAGAGACAGCAGAAATGCAATTAGAGCTAAGCAGTAGCCATGAGATTGGTCAGCAGAAAAATTATATAAGAAGTAGAAAAATAAGGACAAATAGAACAATGATCTGTGTATTAATGCTTGTCTAGAATAACTCCCTAAGCTACAGAAAAGTATATCTAGAGGGATATTAGGAAGTTCTAAGCTTAATAATGAAGGTCTGTGCATTGTATCTTAAGGCTTACAAGCAGGTATTGTATTTGAAATAAGCAAGCATTGTTTTAACCAAAGGGACATGTGCTTATAGTGGTTGGATGGAACTACTGTCAATATGCTTTTGTTTTGTGTGATTGGTCAAACAACTTACAAAGTTGTTGGTTTGCTGCCTGGGATGTGAGCTGCTGGCATCTTCCCATTGCCATAACCATGTAATGAGACTGATGCTGGAAAATAAACAGCGTGAGATGCATTCCTCAGCAGTCCCGTCCTTTTCGTGATTTGTACGTGAACCCCCGGCTGGCAGTAATAAGGCCCAGGCACCTTCTAGCCAGGCCATGCCATGCTCCCTGCTGCTCTCCCCATAAAGCTGCTATCCAGCTGGCTGCAAAGACCAAGAGGGCCTTTCACAGCCTGGTCTCACCTGCATCCAGCCCTGAATCCTGCTGTTAAGGAAGCTTCCCGGTCTGACCATGCAGGAGCCACTCTGGCAGTCACATTTGCACCACCTAAGCTGGGACTGAAGCCCCTTCACAGCTACACCCCTCACACTCACATTTGGACCAGGATTCCTTACCAACTCAACCCCAGGTTTCCCATAGCAGAGTCTCAGACATCCAAGTCCTTCAAATAGCTTAATCGTGGTGCAGTAACTAAATAACAACAGCTCCAGCTGGTGCCTCTGAGAAGGGGCCCTGAACAAAGGAACCCCTGGGCTTTCATACCCTAGCAGCACCAAAGTCTGGGGGTCTCAGCTCCTGCTGTGTCTCAGTGTCCAGTCCCCAGGCTGATGCCACAGGTCCCTGTGCCCCTTCCTGTGCCAAGGGTTGGCAGTTCATGGCCTCTTGCCTTGGGCTCCCATCCAGAGCTCAGCCGGCAGCTCTCATGATGATCTCTGGCAGCTGAAAACTTGTAGGTGTTTATCACCTGTCTGTGATAAACAGATATTGGGAATTAAGTGGTTCAATATCTTTGAGGTCCTGGATTTTTAATTAAATCTCGAGGCTGGAGGCTGCATTTTTCCTTTTTTCTGTCTTTTTTTGTTTCAAGTTCACTCTTGAATCAGAAAATGTCATTAATTGAATGCAGTTTTTAAAGGGGGTGGTTCTCTTACAAAGTAAACACCGTGGACAAAAATCCAGTATCAGGCACTGTGCACATCAGCTGGGTATGCTGGTCAAGTATCACCTGTGCAGGTGGTCTCTAGTGAAGTCTAGATACAGGTTTTGCTCCCTGCTGACAGCTCTCAGGGGTTCTGAGAACCTGTACACCCTTGATGACCAGAGCTGTATAAAATATTGTAAGAGATTTAAAGAGCACAGTTGCCTTAAACACCAATCACAGAATCACAGAATTATTTCGGTTGAAAAAAAACTCTGAGATCATTGAGTCCAACCTGTGACCAAACACCACCTTGTCAACCAGACCACAGCACTAACAGCCATGTCCAGTCTTTCCTTAAACACCTCCAGGGACAGTGACTCTACCATCTCCCTGGAAAGCCTATTCCAATGCCCAAAATCACCTTTTCTCTGAAGAATTTTTCCTAATGTCCAGCCTAAACCTCCCTGGTACAGCTTAAGGCTTTGTCCTCTTCTGTTGCTGGTTGCTGGGAGAAGCCCAGCTGGCCCCCACGTGGCTGTACCCGCCTTTCAGGGAGTTACAGAGGTTGATAAGGCCACCCCTGAGCCAGTCTAAACAACCCCAGTTCCCTCAGCTGCTCCTCACAGCACCTGTGTCCCAGACCATTCACCAGCCTTGTTGCCCTCCTATGGACATGTATGAGCGTCTCAATGTCCTTCCTAAACTGAGGGGCCCAGAACGACACAGGACTCAAGGTGTGGCCTCACCAGTGCTCACCAGGGGAAGGATAACCTCCCTGGGCCTGCTGGACACACTATTCCTGATCCAGGCCAGGATGCCATTGGCCTTCTTGCCCCCTGGCACACTGCTGGCTCATGTTCAATCACCTGTTGACCAGCACCCCCAGGTCCCTTTCTGCCTGGGCACTGTCCAGCCACTCTGCCCCAGCCTGAGGTGCTGCAGGGGGTTGTTGTGACTCAAGTCTAGGACCTGGGACTTGGACTTATTAAACCTCATATTGTTGGACTTGGGCCATCTATCCAGCCTATGCAGGTCCCTCTGCAGAGCCCTCCTACCCTCTAAGAGATCAATACTTGCAGCCAATTTGGTGTCATTTCAAATTTGCTAATGGGGGACTCAATCCCCTCATCCAGACTATTAATGAAGGTATTCAGCAGGACTGGCCCCAGAACTGATCCCTGGGGGGCTCCACTAGTGATCAGCCCCCATCTGGATGCAGCACCATTCACCTCCATTCTCTGGGCCTGACCATCCAGCCAGTTCTGAACCCAGCAACGAGTGCTCCTGTCCAAGTTGTGGGCTGCCAGCTTTTCCAGGAAAATGCTGCGGGAGATGGTGTCAAAGGCTTTGCTGAAGTCCAGGTAGACAAAGGCACTTATTTTTGTTGCAGACTTAAGGCACCAGATGCTACTTTTCCACTGTAGATATATTAATATCTGTAGGGAAGGCATTGATCTGTACAGGTAAGGGAGTGTGAAGCCAAATTCTTCCTAGATGAGGATGAAGGGTTCCCTGAGTTAAGGGCTGCTTGGGCAGTGGTCAAGCCAGTAGGATTTTATAAAATTTGGATGGAGAGTATTCTCAGAGCAGAAAATACAGGTCTCTCTCTCTTTTTTTTTTTTTTCTTACAATTTAAAATTTAATTCAGTTTAATGAAATTCAAATGAATATAACTCTGAAGGAAAGGGTCACTATAGCCTGAACTGCAGGTGGTCCATTCTGCAGTTCAGAACAGTTTTCCCTTTAGGTACCGCAAGATATCCTTCAGCAGATTAAAGAATTGCAGCAGCTTTTCACGTGGAAACGGACAGGGTTGTATTGGTCTCGGAGTTATTGTCACTGCGGGGGCTGCCGTTAAGGTTGGTGCTGGTGCTGGAGTAGTTGCTGGTGCTGGCTTCCTTCCCATCTTGCTCCAGATCCAGTTGTAGTAGTACTGAGTGGAACTGGAGACTGCAGGCCGTTTAGGTCTGGCACAGCCTACTCCCCAGCTGGTCACACCAATTTGCCAGAAGAAGCCAGCATTCTTATCTTGGCAGACAAGAGGTCCCCCACTGTCACCCTGAAGAAAAGCAGAGAGGATTAAGGTGCTTTTAGGTGCCCCTGTAAGCAGTTAGAGCTGGCTCCTTTACTCTCCCAGCCCCTGCCAGAACTGGATTCCTGGCAGAGCAAGGCTCTACTCAAGTGCTGGGACCTGCAGAACCTTGACACCCTTGGAAGTAGGATGGGGGCCTGTAAAGTGGGGCTCTCTGTCTCGCCTGTGCTTGGATATTTCAGGGTTGGCATCTGGACCTCACTGAGCAAGGACCCATGGGTGGGAAAGGGGGCGGAAGCTCCAGCAGTGGTGCAGAGCTGCGGCTGGGAGAGCAACTGGCCAGGCAAAGCAGGCACTGGGCTGTGCTTGGTGGTGTGATGGGGCTACCCACACTGCTGGGGGACTCATAGCATGCTCCTACCTGGCAGGTGCCAACACCGCCCTGCCCAGCACACACGTTGAAGTCATGGATGTAGCCTTGCAGCCACTCGCTACTGTTGCAGAGCTGGTTATCCACAACTTGGACCTTGGCCTGCTGCAGGATATCTTTACCTGATGCTGTGAACAGAGAAAGGAATGAGTTCTCAGCAGCTCCTTGCCCATTCTCCTGGCCTGTGTGTTGAAATCCTTCCCTAGGGCTTGGCTCTGCCTCTAGAGAGCTGTTGCAGTGATGTGTCACTGCTGTCTGGCGTTGGGCAGCAGGTCAGGCCCATCCCTCCAGGGGCATATGTCCCACAGCCCAACTCTCATTTTGGCCTCTGCTGTCAGGAAGCCCCAGCCATCCCTCCCTGGTGTGCCAGCCTTGCCCTCAGGGCACAGGTCCTTTATAGGAACTCACCTTTTACAATTCTGTCACCCCAGCCAGCAACGTAGCAGTTTTTCAGCTCTGACACTTTCACCGAAGGACCAGGCAGGCAGGCGAGCTGAATGGAGGACCTGCACTGGACTGGCTGGTCCAATTCCACCATGGCAACGTCGTGATGCTCAAGATTAGGACGATATTTTTCGTGGAAGACCAGCCGCTTAATCCGGCGCACTTCCACATCAGGGCCTGACTGGGCCAGTGAGGTGGCCCCAAGCACAATGGCCCACTCGCTGAGGGGACTGGAAGGCAAATGGAGAAGGGGAGAGGGGGAGTAGTATCATGTGCTGTGACAGCCCAGCACTTCCCTGCCTTCCGCTTCCTGAGGCAGAGAGGAAAACAGGACTACAGAGGGCAAAAGTAGACTCAAGATATGTTAAGCTGGAGGCTGCTAGGGAGCAGTGGCATGAGCCCACTCTTCTGCCTGAGCAGTCTCTTAGCTGGGCCCTGCAGTTGGGCCTGGGCCCTGGCCTCCTGGCACTAGGCACACTGCAAGGAAATGGGATGGGAATATGTAGGGATATCCCCATACCCTCATCCTCCTTACTTGGTGATGTTGATAAAGCAGTGGGCAGCTGTGAGGAGCCACTGTGGGCTGACGAGGGTGCCTCCACAGACATGCACAGATACCGGTGGGTTCCAGTAGCAACGGACACTGGCAATTCCTGCCCAGGCCCCAGTCCCTGGCATGACATCTGTGCCACCCACAACACGTGTTGAGCTGATGGTAGTACCCATGGGCCGGAGCCCACAGGTCTGTCTGTAAGCAGAAAGTCATTACTGTCCTGTGAGAAGGTTTCCACAAGGCTTTGGTTGCAAAGCCAGCAGGGCCAGGGAACTGCCTGGGGCATGCATATGTTGGCCCATTTCTGCCTGAGCCCTGTGGACAAGTGGTGCCAGCAGCCTGGGTGCTGGTGATAAACTGAGGCTTGTGCCCAGGGTTTTGGAAACTGGCATAGCCACAGGTAGGAAGTGGGCATCCTCAGGGAACCCCCTAAGCCTTTGTCTGGGTCCCCTCAGGTCAAGCCTGAGGCTACTTACCCACAGGTGCCATGTGCAGGCCCGCACAGAGCCAGCAGGAGGAGGATGGACAGCAAAATCATTGTGGTCAGAGACACAAGTCAGCTGCAAGGAGAGAGGGCTTGTCACCTCCAGTGCAGCTGCCAACGTACTGCCCACAGAATTGGCAGTGCCGCAGTGCCCTTGACCCTGGAGCTGATGTCACAGACGGACTGGTTCTATGTTCTGGGCATGGTGCTGGCCTCTGGAGGCAGGGGGGAAGGGCAACGTAGAGCCATAGAACCACAGAAGGGTCTGGATTGGAAAGTACCTTAAGGATCGACTAGTTTCAAACCACAGCCATGCACATGGATGCTTTCCACTACACTAGGTTGCTCAGAGTCCCATCCAAGCTGGCCTCAAAGGGTAACAGGAACGGGGCATCCACAGCTTCTCTGGGCAGGCAACCTGTGCCAGTACTGTGACAATGATACAAGATTTTACTTGGCATCCAAAAATCCTACAGAATTTGCAGCAACAATTAAAAGCAAACACACATTCTGATTTTTAAAATCAGTTTGTGAAATTGTTTCATTTGCTTTGCTTGCGACAGAAAAATCAACTAAACAAATATAACTCGGGGGCCTCAAGAAAAAAAAAAGTCTCAAGGCCTAAGCTCTTTTGGTGTTGTTTAGAAAGTAACTATGAAGAATTCTAATTAAAAGTCATTTTCCTTCAATAAGCCAGAACCCCTTTACAGTTGAGCTTGTTTAGTTGTTTCCATTGGACTGCTGAACAGCTTACCCCTATTTCGAGAGGTACAGCAGAGGCTGTGCATTGGACTGCCATTTCAGTTACTACCATCAAGTTCCTCTCTTCAATTACCAAATTCCAGTTTTCTTAGCTTTCCTTTGATGAAGTTCAGGGAGGACCAAGGTGATGGAAGGTTCCTGCCCAGATATCCAGAGTCCAGTTTCAAGTTTCCTGGTGTGCTGTACAGCACACACACAGAAGGATCAGATGTCAGCAGCCTAAGACACTGCATTTCCAGCTGCTGTCCCCAAGACCTGGAAGCCCCAAGGACCTGCGTTCCCTTATTACACTGCACTTGCCATCCTCTCTGCGTGGGCAGTTCCAGCCCTTTGGAGGGACCCTTTTCCTTTGGGCCTGACTTGCCTGCCCCCAGCTGCATTTTACAAATCCCAGCTCAGGGAGGCCTTGGCTCCCACAGGAGAATGAGTGGGACTGCGCACATAGCTATCTGTGAAAATAGGCCACTTTATTTCTGTAGCAACTAAGTCACCATCAGCCACTGAGCACATGTGGAGGAGGAGTGTGGGCAGGACAGAGTGCGCTTTTGGCAGTGAGGCTGCCTTTGAAACAGCAGGCACTGCCCCAGAAGGAGAGGGCTGTGGTCCACTGCAGCCTGAACTGCAGCCAATCAATCCCTCCCTAGCCTGCCTTAGGCTCCAGGCTGCCCACCTTTGGGCTGCAGTTTGACTTGAGTGTGAGATGAGGCTGGGGTTTTGTTTCTTTGAACTCAGTAAATCTGGTAATCCCCTTTCCCTGCCCTGGTTACAGGGGAAAAGAGAAACAAAAATATTTACCTCAGTTTGTTGCTGTAGTTCTTTGGCTTTTAAGGCAGAAATGCTCTTCATGCTGTGCCAGCAGTGGTATTTCAGGTAGTGGGCATGAGCTCTAGGCCTTTGGCTTTTGCAAAAGGAAAAGAAGAAAAAGAGGGAAAAAAAGAGAGGAAAAGAGAAAAAAGGAGAAAAAGAGGAAAAAAGAGAGGGAAAGAGAAAAAAGGAGAAAAAGAGAAAAGAGAGAAAAAAGAGAAGGGAAAAAAAAGGAGAAAAAAAAGACAAAAAAAGACAAAAGGAGAATAAGAAAGAGGATAAAGGTTTTCCCTGGAAAGAGTGTTTGCACCAAGGGAAGCCTGAACCTCGTGTGGCACAATTTCACAAGTTTCACCCTTGCAGGTTTTTAAGGGCCTTTGTTGCTGATGGCCGCGTCCCATGGCCAAGTGTGATCTAAGGAGACCTGAAGGTGCCACCTTTGCACTCTGAAAGTTGCTGTGGTCAACACTACAGGTTTTTGATTTGTTTTGATATTTCCCCCAGTTTGGAAATTCTCCCTCCCCCCCACTCCTCCTTTTTTTTCCCCCTTAGGAAGAGGGCAGGAAAGTTCTTTTTGGTCTCTCAGCCTCTCCCTCTGTAATAAATACTTTCATATTCCCACTGCATACAAAATAGGTGATACTATAGGGTGTTTCATGTGGGTATGGGAAAAACTACAAGCCTGAGTTTTTAGAACTGTGCCTGGAGGAGAAGCCATGCCGAGGTGTGATGGTTATGGACTTGCATGGATGTGGGAGTGGATGATACCTGGGAGGGCATAAGAGAGCTGTACACACCCAGCCCCAGCTTGCACCTTCCCACTGCTATACAGATGGAAGAGGCAGCAGCTAACTGGGGAATGATGAGCAATGCTGTCAATACTCAGTATGAGAAGTCGGAAGGGGGTGTCTGCTGACATCCTGGCAGAAGTTCCACCACTATTGTGGGTTTGTCCATTGCATGAAGTCCCTACACCTGCTGTACATTGTTAACAGCACGTGATACTGCAAGAATAAACATAGCTATTTCCACAGGCTTTAAAAAATATTACAGCTTTTAAACCAAGGGGGAAAGCCTCCCCAGAAGCTCTGGTGTGAGCCTTCACCAACAGGGCTGGATAATTCATAGCTGGATTTCTCACAGAGGCTGCTCCTAACTTGGAAAGGTCAGAAGAATGATGTGATGGCTGCAGACATTTTGTGATTTATGTGATTTTTCATTTTTCATTTTGTGATTTTATGTGATTTTTGTGGTCTATGATTTTCTTTTTTTATTCTTGAGTTCATTATCATGGGGCTGATTTGATCTCGTCACCTTGTGCCATGCAGATTTAAACAAAACCCAAGGTTTGTTTTTTTTTTTTGTTTTTTTTTTTTTTTTAATGAGTCATGAACAAATGTGAGTTGTTCAGCCAAAGCTGAAATTTGAAAAGAGATTTTGTAATTTCAGGAACACTTGCTGCCAGCACTTGTTCAAAAGCTGGAGCAAACTGGACTTTGAAAAAGGACAGGACTGCACCATTAAGGGATACAGTGAAAATGAAATCAAGAGAAGTTGGTATTTCATCCTTGGATGGATGCACAGATTTAACTGATTTCTGCACCAGCTGCTCCCCAATATCAAGAGCAAATGCTACTTTTTTGCAGACCTCTGAATCCTGTGCAAGGACATGCAGATACCACTGGTCAGGCACAACCACTGGCATAATGAACCCCATAGCTGGAAGCTTCAGAAAGAGGATGCCTTTGCTCCCACAGAGCAGGACTACTACTGCAACAATCCACATCCTTCACTAATCTATGTGAGGCACTAGTGAGGTCTTCTGCAGGCTAGTTATTCTTGTTGGAGAAAGTGGCATTGTTCAGCAACATGACCTTTTTCCAGACTTTTTTTTTCTAATTTAGGGCAGTGTAAAGTGTGTAAATTAGCTAAATACAGCTTCCTTAGAGGGATCCTGCCTTTAAAAATGGAAGTGTCAGGGAAGAAAGCAGTCTATCCTTACGCCAAGATGAAATAGATGTTTCTCCTCCACGGCTCTAGGCAAGCCTGCACAGACCTAGGGGTAAGGGCCTAGCCCAATAATAATGGCTGAACTGGTGCGCATCTGATGCCCATTTTGATTGTGAGCACAATAGCCACAGTACCAGGATGGACCTTTGTCTTCTATCCCCAGACACCCCATTCCAGTGGGTACAGTTCATCCTCAGGACCAACTAGGATGAGCAGCACATCCCTCATTACTTGTTCTCTGAGCTGGATGAAAACTGTAGCAGAGAGGCTGACGGTGCTGAGTGGAAAGAAATGGCAGGGTAAATCCCTGCTGCTGCTGTGATGGGAGAGAGGTGCCCACACCGGCAGTACCCTCTGGCTCTACCTTCTGCTCTCTGAACACTTTCTGCAGCTGCAGGTGCTGATGTGAGCAGCCTTCTCCTCTTGCCACCACAGAAGTTTAGCAATGGAGTTGGAGATCTGGAGCTGAGGAGAGGGAAAAGACAGTATCAAGTGCAGGATCAAGCCCTGCATGGCCACTCTTACACAGCCTCTGAGCTGAGGAGCTGCACCACCCATGAAAGGATGCTGCTGGACAATTGTGCCAATAGCATCAGACACTGAAGGTAACGTAGGAGCCACATCTCTCTGGCTGCATGTTTGCTGCATGACAAACCTCTTGGTTTGTCACATGGCCCTTCCCTCCAAAATCAACCCTGCCCCAATGACGCATCCTTTTTCAGAAGTCCTGCTGTTATCTTTAAATTCTGTAGTCATCCCTCTAGCATTGTCAGCTCATTAAGTCAATTCCTAAGGCATCTAAAGAAACATTTTCTTACTACACCTCAGCCTATTAGTCTGCATTTTGTACAGCCCCTAATACTTGGTGTCCTACATATGGTAGTCTCACTTGCTAAGTACTACTAAGTTATACTACGAATTCCATAATCCTACATTACCTGGGTTAGCTTGAACAGTTCAAGTTTTTGTCCTGCACCTATGGCTAAACTTAACTAGCCATACTCACACTAGCTCTAACCAGAATCCAGCTAACAGGACATCCAACTCTCTCTTGCTCTCAGGGTGGAGTGGCAGTCCTCACCTTCCCTTGGAGGCTTTTTCACAGCCCTCCTAACACTGGAGGGGTGCTCTCTGTCTTGCACTGACACCTCATCCTTTTCCTGACCCTCACCCTGCCCTAAGTTCATGTCCAACATGAGCTCTGCCAGCAAAGGCAGTCTGCCTTGCGCTGGGTCTTAAGACATTTCAGTCTTCATCAATTCCCAATACACTCAAAAAAGGAGAATTATATTTAAGCATTTCTCATGGAAGGAGGAATTGAGTTCAGTACAACTTATTAATAGGGCTGGAGACTCCTTAAAACAAAAACAATTTTAAAACCTCTGCAACAGACATAACAAAAGTATGCATATGCAACAAATGGTAAAATGAAAAAAACCTCCCCAACTTTCCAGATTTTCTTGGTACACTTTCCTGTCTAAAACTCAGCTCCATGTTATTGCTTCACAGTTGTCACTAAAGTGTTTTAATAGAATAGTGACAATTTTCAAAACTCCAGAGCAGAAATCAGGAGGAAGATGGGATCCTCTTCCACAGTTTTGATTTTAAATTTTTTAAGACTCAATACTGGCCAGGAATGAAATAAAACACATGTGAGGGGACAGCAGAGATAGAAAAATGGAAGTTTACAACTGACTTCTAATTTAATTTAAGAAGTGACTAGGAAGAAAAAGATGGCATATTTATATATGTATATATACATACACACACACATATATACACAAATATTCAAAGATGGAAATAATATTTCTGTAGAATTTGAAAGATTTAAAATATAAGAGGAATCAAAGTAATAGTACATGACAGTATAAAAACTCCAAGAATATACTTAATTGCAATTCTCATTCCATAATTTAACAGTTCTAAATCTGCTTGCATGAATCCACATAAGATACACTGGTAGTGAAATGAAAAGATTAAAAAGTATGTTTACTCTTGCATGTATTGTGTATATATATATATAGAGTAATTCCAAAATGGCTTTTTTCACCACTTCTGAAAGACACAGATTTCACTGCAGGTATTGCATCTTTGTAGTGCTGCACATGAGGGTTTTAGCTCCTGTTCTTCAAAAGATTTTGAGGATTTGTCTCACAAGATTTTTTACAATAGTAGAAAAACAAATCATTAAAATCTAAATTAGAAGCTTTCCTAAAACTAGTGCCATGAAGAGAGAACAATGATAACAAATTACACTGTGATTTGCAAGTTATCAGGCAATGAAAGACCAGAAGCTTAGAAAAATGAAGTGACTGACTAATCTATCAACTGCAAAGCTCTGCAAGAAGTGGTGAAATTGAAAGTCAGTAGTCAAAAGGGCACAAATCAGTATCAGTCTAACAGATGAGCTAACCTGAAAAAAATACAAATTTGTGCAGCTGGTCAGAGACCAATACCGCAAAATCAGTTGAAGTTCGACAATTAATGATGAGATTCTCAAAACTATCTGATAAATTCAAGAGTACAAGTTCCAAAGTCACACGACTGTTTCTGAAATCCTATCTCTAAAATGCTTGGTTTTGCTATGTTTCTTCTTTTCCATATTACCATCCAACCACTTTTATATATCAAATTGTATACTATTAGCATAAGGTTTTTTTAAATGTGTAATTCCTAAAGACCACCATGAAAATAAAAAATCCAAACTTGAATTAAATTGTAATTGTATTTATTTCACCTCTTGAACTTTATAACATTCACTACCACTTACATATCTGAAATATAATTCTGTTTCACAACAGCTTCTGTATCTACAAATGTGGAAACCACAAACAGTTTTGCATTAAGAGAAAATCTACTGCTCAATGAGCAGTCTGCAAAGAAGTAACAGTTCACGGTAACTCTTTCTTACCTGACTCTCAATATCAACCCTCTGCCAAGAAACTTAACTCCAAAGGAACGGGCCTAAGTTTCACATATAAAATTATATTTAATAATTTGTGCAGATGCTTGGTCTATAGATGAAAACAGTTTCAGGGTAAATACTTACATATTGCTCAAAATGCTTCAAGGAAAATAAAAATTTATCTGAGACATGCCCTGAGCTATCTAGATTCCTTAGTAGTGCAATGTTGCAGTGATGCCTGGTTTCACCCTGGCTTTTGCAAATGAAACACAATAACTGCTCACAGAGCTCCTAAATGGCTGTCACAGCACAGTATTATATGCACTACAGCAAGTCTTGTAGCTTTGCCAAGTTTCTCTCCATCCACTGGATATTGAGCTGAATTGTGTCAATTGCCTCTTTTACACAATGCAGTTGAGAACTCTCGTCTGATTTTGACTCAAAAAATGACTTGACCTACATAGCAAGAAAGAAAAAGAAAATCTTAATTAAAATCAACATTAGCCAAATAGGTTCAGCAGCAAAGGCTATACACACATGTTGCAGGAAATCTATCTTTGAGAAATGTTTGTATCTATGCAGTAAGCAAATCTCTCAAAGGAGTTCCCAAAATGCAAGGAAAGCATTTTTCACAGATACAGCAGCAATAACTCATTTGGTTTCAGTATGTCATTTCACCAATAAACCTACATTTACCATATCACAAAGCCAACAGAGAGTATGCAGAGTTCTGGAAAAGGAGTGCTATTCTGTGACAAAGAACTGGTTGCTGCAAGCAACCCTCTTCAGCATTCTGGAACACCTCCACACCCAATCATCATTGTAACTGCCAATGCTAACACTTAAAATGTTATAGATCAAACCATTAACACCAATCTCTACCAAATTATCTGAATGAAAACATCAGACTAAACTGTAAACCATTCTTGATACATTAACTTCAAGGCCTTGTTAGGGAAGACAACAGAGCTTTCTGAAAGCTATTAAACAACTCTTGACTGATACTCAACTTCCACAGTAACTCTTTGGGACTGATGACGGGAAAAAACAGCAAAAAGCAATTTTTATGGCTCAGTATCACATTTCAGAGATACAGAAAGTATATCTTGTTTACAAAATCTAGACCAAAATTACATATAGATCAAGTCATTATTTTGTGAGAGAGTGTGTTCCAGTGTACAGGAAAACACAACAGCATAAACCAATAACTGGGTTCAACTCTGTAATGCAACTCTGTCACAGTCTTGGTATATAATCTCCCAGTGTCTATGCATACATTTACCATGTGTGAAATAGGGAAAGCAACTGATATACATACTCTCCACAGGATTTCAAGGATATAAATAACATGTGAACATGTGTTTTCCTCATCCTTCAACTAAATGAAAACAGCAGTGGCTTTTAAAAATACCCCTTTCTGGTAGATTGTGCCACCAACCTCAAGCAGATGAGCCTTTGTTGCAAACTGAGAAGTTGACCACGTAATAATATTCTGGATAGTGTATGAGCCTAGGTGAAACCTGTAAGACAAACAAACATTTTCAGCTAGGAGACACTTTAAGATGCAGTTTTGCTATACATATGCATTCTTTTCTACTATTTCTACTTTTTTGTTTAGTAGTTCGCAAACATTAAAAGCACGTAAATGCAATACTTTACATTACAATTACATATCCTCTTTTTCAAAATAAATATATGTTCTTAGAAATCCAAGCCTCTATCTCCCTATACCCTCTAAAATGTAAAATCAGAGCAAAAGCCATGGAAAATTTTTAAACTTCTATCGCAGATCAAATAGTAAAGAAATATTTGAGGACACTACACAGTGAATATCAAAATCTGTATTTGTGGTACATATGTGTTCTAAAGCTCCACCAGAACTGAACTTGCAACTAGGTTTTCTTTCAAGTGAGGTAATTCTGTAATACTGGTTATAAAGAGCTTGCTAGAGCAGATGTTTTCATAGAGGAGAAACTTTTCAAGTAGCATGAAACTTTAAAATCAAAGCTGGGATTTAGAAACAGAGGTTTCTAGTACTGTTGGCTTTTTGAAGACTTGGGGGGCCAGCTTTCCTGCTGGGTACCCTTCAAGTACAGTGAAAGACAACATATTTCTGAAGCAAGTGGGAAATTTATGTTACTTGGTTTTGGGAGTGCTGTGACAATTCAGAAAATATAAATGCTGAATTATTTCCCTGGATGTCCTTTTGAATCCATTTGATTCACATAAGTATCTTTAAACTGAACCAGTCATCTTACAGACAGCAACCTTTCAAGAGAAATTAAAATTAAGATTGTTCAGAATTACTGTAAAGCTCTAGAATGACTGTTGAGAGTTCAAATTTTATGTAGCAAGTTATATTTCTAAACTCTGATTTTAAAACATGATCTAGAATTTTAATACGAATCTTCTTATATGAACCCTCATATTTATTGCCTTGTTTGAAACAAAGAAACAGGTGCTTTTGCTATTGTGAGTTTAAAAGTTTCAGCTGCATCAAAAGCCTTACTTTCGTGTAAGCTTTTCCCAGTTCTCTTTGACGAAGTCCCAGGCCAGCAAATATCCAGGCAAATTCTGGCTAATGGTTGCTATGATATGTGAAAGTTCCTGTGACCTGATGATTTCTCCTTCAAGACTGTTCTGCATTAGCCTAGGAGACAAAGCATATGCACAGAGACAGGAAGAAAACATCATTCATATGCTCACATGGGTTTCCTGGAAGTCCTCAAGTAAATGGAAAGATGATATAATACATCAAGCAAGCAAATTCTGCCACCTGGAAGAAATCAATGTTACATTTTATTGCAACAACTGTATTTACTTAGCTTTTATTTCCAG